TGTAATTCAGCTAATTTTTTGTTTTTGTTTTGGGGCCACTCCTGGCAATGATCTGGGGTTACTCCTGCCTCTGCACTCAGGAATTACTCCTGGTGGTACACAGGGGACCATATGGGACGCTGGGGATCGAACTTGCATTGGAGGCATGCAAGGCAAACTCCGTACACACTGTACTATAGCTCTGGCCCCAATTCAGCTAATTCTTAACAGCCATTCAATATCTAAAAAAATACCAAGACTGCACCACATGCAATATAATATCTAATGTTGGCATAGTGAAGATTCTCACATAGTAACTTGAAACAACAATTTCTAGTACTAACCCAAGTGCTTATCTTCACAGGGCTAAGGCATTAAAGACCACTATACCACACTAAATCTCCCACCTAATAATTTCTGATAGACCAGGCTTCTCTTAGTCCCCCAAACGATAAACCTGTTTTCGCTAAAGGACCTCAGTGTATTTCATTCCCTTTGCTTACAAAACTGATCTGTTCCCTTGCTCCCAGTCTGCAACTCTGCAGGTAGAGAGCGTTCTTTATTTCCTTAACTGTCACTTTTCAAGACTGGGATTCCATGCCCCCACAGTCAATCTCCCCTGTGCCTAACTACTTTTTTCCTTTACAACACACAAAATGATTGCAATCGTTTATTAGTATATTTACTTCTTTGACACCTCTCCAACTGAACCATACCCCAGTAAAAACAGAAACTACTTCATTCACCACTGACCAACCAACAAAACCTGGCATAGTGTACACATTTTCAAGTTTATTTGATATAAAGATGAACCATAAGAGGTGGCTGTTTTGCTTGCAGATTTAGTCATATTGTGAAAAATTACTGAGAACCCACTGTTGTCATGCTGATACATTCTAAGAATGTGCCAGGAAATTATTTTGTTGTATGATATGAAAATTATAGTTTAATTAGACAAAACATAGTATAGGCCTACCACATCTAGATTATACTGCCTTAGGAATCACCAAGGGCTGGAGCGACAGCACAACAGGTAAGGCGTTTGCCTTGCACGCAGCTGACCTGGGTTCAATTCCTCCATCCCTCTCGGAGAGCCCAGTAAGCTACCGAGAGTATCCCGCCGCATGGCAGAGCCTGGCAAGCTCCCCGTGGCGTATTCGATATGCCAAAAACAGTAACAAGTCTCACAATGGAGACATTACTGGTGCCTGCCCGAGCAAATCTATGAACAATGGGAGGGCAGTGCTACAATGCTATAGGAACCACCATCCAAATGCGGTCCTTCAGTCACAAAAACATTAAATGGCTCATGGCCATTCTTGTTTGCTTACAAACAAGAGTATTCCCTCCATCACCAATTCCAACCACCACTCAATCCAAGAAAACTACTGTACAGAGCTGGAGAGATAGAACCATGGGTAAAATGCTTGCCTTGCACACGGCAAACCTGGGTTCTGTTTCCAGGTTGATCCCTGGCACCTCAGATGGTTCTTCAGTTACACCAGGAATGACCAGAGTGCAGGACCTGGACTAAGGGCAGAGCACTCCCAGGTGTGGCCCCAAAACAAAAGACAATATAAAACAATGAAACAGCTGTTTTGAAGTTTCTAGAGAGCAAAAAAGGTAGTGACGGTTAAATTACCCAGAGGTTTTGCCATTACAGAACTGGTATTCAAACAACTACACCAAGCATCCTCGTTGCCTAGGTCCCACCCATATGTTTCTGGTATTCCTTATAATCAATGGTTTGGGTTTGGATACAGAAAATCTCACTATGAACAGTTGTCTTCATTTCCTAGTACATTCTCAAGTAGGTCACCAATTTTCCTCTTCTCATATTTATCTTCTCATGAATTATCATCAATTTACAAATGCAGTTCCTATACTAACTCTAATCTTATTCTGCTCACACTCTGCAAGTGACCAACAACACTAAAGGTCTTCCCAAGTAACTGTTCCTAGTTAACTCAAGCACTTGACTCACAGACTGTTTAAGGCTATGAGAAAATGCTAGTTTACATGTCTTTTTACCTACCTATAACAACTCAAAACACAAAAATCATGAAGTGAGTTCTCCTGCTGCTAGGAAGTAAAGTGCGAAAAATTTAAAAATTTAATGGAAGCAGGAATGATAGTGCAGCACAGGTAGGGTGCTTGCCTTGAATACGTCTGACCCAGACTCAATCCCCAGCACCCCACAGGGTCCCATGAGCATTGCCAGGAGTAACTCCTGAGTACAAAGCCAAGAGTTACTAACCCCCGAGCACCTAGGTATGACCCAAAAACAAAAAACAAAACCAAAAATATTTAATGGAAATGAGCCATAAGAAAAAATTTAAGCCTTAGTTAACAAAAACATATTGGAAGAATGTTGGCAAACAAAGCAATTAGCAATCTAAATGAAATGAATTCTCAGAAACTGTGGTATATTTATCACCAGATTTTTTCACTTAGATTTCTTTGAGCATAGATATAATTTAATAGAAATTACTTCTTGGAATCTGTTAATTACAATCTGTTAATTCCAGATCAATGTAAAGTCAATATGTAATTAAAATTATGAATATGATAAACAACTAAACAAAGGCTCATTTCTATCACATAATTAAAAGTAGGAAGAGCTTCTTTTATCTCTACCAAGAGGAGTAACTTATAAATATCCTACCCAAAAGCTTGCACGGTCACTTCTAACCTGCTGAGTTAGGAGCTGATTTTCTTTCATATTTCACAAGCTAATTTTTTGGGGGGTGGGGAGAGGTGCCCACACTTAGCTGTGCTAAGGGCTTATTCCTGGCTCTGCACTCAGGGATCACTCCTGGACATCATTCACTGCTTGGGACAGGGTTCCGGGGATCAAACCCAGAGTGTCTGCATGCAAAGCAAACACCCTGCCCACTGTTTTATCTCTAAATGTTGGACCGAAAGGTCTTGGTTTATTATTGCTGAGAGATATTAAAAAAAAAAATAAAGCTATGTAACAGAATTCTAACACTATAATTTAGTTAGAAAAAAAAATTCCTAGTCGAGAGCAATCTATATCCAAAGAGAGAAGAGTAGCTCCTGAATTGGTGGTAAAGAGTAATCTTAAGATTTGTGAATTGAAAAGTGTTCCTAATTGGGGCTAAGCCATACTTCATTTAGAGAAGCACAATTACCTCTTTGTCTTGACACTTGTTGCCAAGGCGATGGTTCCTGTAATTAATGCTCAGTTTTAAACCAAGAACTGATAAAACAACCTTCATAGCATGCAGAGGCACCTAAAAATAAACTAGGGAAACTCAGTGGCTATTGGAAAAAGAAGGTATAAATTAAAATAAAGAAGGCACCAAAGTCTCCTACTCTAAAGCCTATAAATATTAGAGGTCATCTGGGATTCACAACTGTTTGGCTTACCGTGTATTACTAAATCTTCAAATATGTATTCTTTTCTGGGGGTGGGAGGGTGGCTGAGGGAGTTTTGGAGCCACACCAGCAGTGCTCAGGACTTACTTCTGGCTTTGAAATTAAGTATTACTCCTGGCCAGGCTTGGAGGACCATACGGGGTGCCAGGAATGGAACCCAGGTCTGCCACATGCAAGGCAAGTGCCCTGTCCACTATATCATTACTCCAGTCCCTGTATTCTTAACAAGGATAAATGTCTTAAAGATCTATAATTTCACAGGAGAACTCATATTAGACATTAGTATGCTTTTGTCCATTTATTTTACTGATAATGCTACAATGGGGGAAAAGGGTCAAAAATTGTTTTAGAAATTGTCTTGTACACTAGTAGAATTGTACAAAAAAAAAATCTCCAACACGATCAAAAAATGGGGAGAAGAAATGAACAGAAGCTTTCTCAAAAAAGAAATACAAATGGCCAAAAGGCACATGAAAAAATGCTCTACATCGCTAATCATCAGGAAGATGCAAATCAAAACAATGAAATATCATCTCACATCACAGAGACTAGCACATATTCAAAAGAACAAAAGCAACCAGTGTTGACATGGATGTGGGGGAAAAGGGATGCCCTTTCACTGTTGGTGGGAATGCTGCCTGATCCAGTCTTTTTGGAAAACAATACGGGCATTCCTTCAAAAACTAGAAATTGAGCTTCTATATGATCCTGTAATACCACCCCCTCTGGAAATATATCCTGAGGGTACAAAATAAGCACAGTACAAATGACATCTGCACCTGTATGTTCATTGCAGCACTGTTCACAATAGCCAGAATCTAGAAACAATCTGAGTGCCCGAGAACAGACAACTGGTTAAAGAAACTTTGGTATAGCTACACAATGGAATATTATGCAGCTGTTAGGAAAGATGAAGTTATAAAATTTGCTTATAAGTGGATGGTCACTGAGAGTATAAGGCTACATGAAATGAGTCAGAAAGAGAGGGACAGACATAGAAGGACTGCACTCATTTGTGAAATATAAAATAACGTGAGACTGACACCCAAGGACAGTAGACTCAAGGGCTGGAATATTGCTCCATAGTTGGAAGCCTGCCTCATGAGCTGGGGGAGAAGGCAGCTGGATTAAAGAAGGGAACACAATTGAAACCCAAGCACAAAAATTTGTAAGTCTACAACTGTACCTCATGATGTCTCACTAATAAAAATGTAAATAAATAAATAATTTTTTTTTTTTAAAAAGAAGGGATCACTAAGTCAATGATGGTTGGAGGAATCGTTCAGGATGGGAGATGTGTGCCGAAAGTAGACAAAGGACCAAACGTGATAGCCTCTTAGTATCTATATTGCAAACCGTCATGCCCAAAAGTAGAGAGAGTATGGGGGAAACTGTCTGCCACAGAAGCAGGGGCTGGAAAGGGGGTCATATACTGGGGACTCTGGTGGTAGAGGACATGCACTGGTGGAGGGATGGGTGTTCGATCACTGTATGACTGAAACTCAAACATGAAAGCTTTGTAACTGTATCTCACAGTGATTCAATTAAAAAAAAAATGCTGTCTTGCCAGTTTATATTTCTGATGCACAGAAAATAAAAATTTTAAATATATTAAGTACCTGAAACTGAACTCTCGGACACTGGATCAGAGATAAGTTAGAACCAATTTTCCTGACGATACTTCGAGATGAACCATATGGCTTCCCAGACCAAAGTACCTGAAGAAGTAGAAAAAAAACAAGTTTTTTTCTTGTTTTCTTAATACATTTAACAATTTTGTTAATACATTTAACAATTAAATGCATGACATGGTGACACACTAATTATGGAATCAGAATGACTTTAAATGTTATTGGAAATAAGATAATTCAAGTCAAAATTAGATAGTGTTAATGCAATAATGATATGTAAGACATACTGAAATACAGAATTAGTCTTTATAAAATAATAATCTATTAGGAATACGGAAAATGTTCATACTTGTAAAAAGGAAATACTACTTTACTACTATATTTACAGTTTCATAATTTTATATGCTCAAACTTTTTACAAAACATAAAATAGCCCGAGGATCAGGCAGATGCCTTCTATGCATTAAGACCCCTAGTTCTAGCCTCAGCGCTACAAAGTGCCCTAAGCACTGCTGGGTGTAGCCCTCAAGACCCTCAAGCACCACAAGGGGAGGCCATGGTGCTCCAAGCACTGTTGGGCCAGGCAGCACCACAATAGTAGGTTTGAGCATATTTGGCCCAGCTGACCAAGTATCATCAAAAGTGGACACAGGATCCCTAAGAAGTGCCTGCAAGGACCCTCAAAAAAAAAAAAAAACTATGGGGCCAGAATGACTGAACAGCATCAGGGCATTTGCTTCCATGTGGCTGATCCAGGCTTAATTCCTGGCATCCCATATGGTCCCCTGAGCACTTCCAGGAGTGTCCCTGAGTATAGAGTAAGACTTGAGTATGCCAGATGCTCAAAAACAAAAAAACAAACAAGCTATAAACTACTCTTATTGTAGTGGACTTTGCAAAACAAATCCAAATCTCTACAAAGTCCAGAATCTGAATTTATATTATGTGCAGTACATTTACATAGCTAAAAGCTACTTCTTGTGAGACCCTGTCTTCAGGGACAAGGCACTTTTTCCTAAACTATGCAATGGCACTAAATGGGCTGGTGGTGACTTCAAGGAGCAAATTTTTCAGATGAAATAACATAAACAGGGTATTATGCTATACTTAAGCAAAAAAACAAAACAAAAACAAAAAACAAAAAAACCCAAACCTTTAAAAAGGCAAACAAAAAAACACACATTAAATCATTACAAATTGTACCTTGAAATTTCTCCCCAAGTAAATGGTCTTAGATCCTTAAAGAGAAAAACTATCCATCTGTTTTGAGCGCTACACTTGAAAGCCTGGACAGAAGAGGTAAAATGCTATTAAAAGTAATTTTAAGAGAAAATGAGAATAAATTGACTATTATACTTAATAAAGCTTAGCATTCAACTATACCTAAAATAGCACCAAACCAGGGGGCATATACTCTTAAGCAATGAACACATTTTAAAATCACCTCTAGACAATTCAAATTTACAAAACAGAATTACCCAAAAATAAACAAGTGTGACCAAACGAAAAACATCAGCAAGCAGCAGTAGGTCCAACATATAACTCAAATTAGACCTTTCGGACTATTCTAAAAGCATACACTCATGGATAAAAGCAATCAGATTTCTTAGATTTTTAGCATACAAATCCAGTTTTGAGATCATAGTTTGTGTCAAGTGAGGGGCTCAGTTGCATAATATAACATTGCTGGTATCTACTCTGCTAAATAATATGATTCTTAACAGCAGTACATTCAAAGAGTTTCACTAACACTTGCCATAGAAGCAGGCTGGGGTGAGGGGGTGGGAGGGAAACTGGGGATATTGGTGGTGGGAAATGTAACTGGTGAAGGGTCAGGTGTTGGAATATAGTATGGCAGAAACTCAATCAGGAACAACTATGTAACTGGGCATCTCATGGTGATTCAAAACTATTTTTTTCTTTTTTTGCTTTTTGGGTCACACCCGGCTATGCACAGGGGTTACTCCTCACTCTGCACTCAGGAATTACTCCTGGCGGTGCTCAGGGGACCATAATGGGATGCTGGGAATCAAACCTGGGTTGGCCACGTGCAAGGCAAACGCCCTACCTGCTGTGCTAACGCTCCAGCCCCCAACAATTTTTTTTAAAAAAGAGTTTCACTAACTCTTATTGGAGGGTTTAGAAAATACTATTTGTAACCTGTTTAAATCAAGAAAAACTCAATGATTGCCAAAGTGGGATATACCCCCACCTTGGAGTAATGAAAGGATTTAAGGTGGTGGTAGTGGCCTCAGGTGTGGGAGGGGATATGGGGAATAAGTGTTTATTCACATTTTTGAATTTCCAGAGGAGATGCTGTGTTGTTTTCTGAAACAGATGAAGAAGCAGTGTTAGGGCAAATAACTCTGGGAACCTTGGGACCAGAGGAAAATGAGATGAATCATATTCTGCAAAATCAACACAGAGCACAAGAAAAAAATCAGTACATTGTAATTCTAAAATAGATACTATCTGAGCAACCTCTTTACCTTAAACATTCTAATAGATCTTGATCTTTTAAAATTAAATCCATAGGGGAACAGTAACTATACCATTTAGTTACTTCTCAAGTCTTCAGTCACTTGTCAAAATTTTGTGATGTAGCAACAGAGGAAGTAACGCTACTGATGCATCACAATGTGTCAGTTACTAGCCTGAAATCCCCATCCCTTCAGTTAGAAAACATCTAGCACAAAATTGAAAAGAAAAAGCTCACAAAAGGAAGAATTGTTTATTAGTTTTGGGCCATTCCTGGTGGTGTTCAGGACTTATTCCCAATTCTGTACTCAGAGATCACTCTTAGTGGTACTCTGGAAACCACATGCAGTGCCGGGAATCAAATCTGGGTCAACAGGAAGCAAGGCAAGTAACCTATACACGAGACTATATCTCCAGACCCTGAATATATATATGTATGTATGTACGTACGTACATACGTATGTATCTATGAACTTTTGTGATGCCCAGGATCCAACCCAGGGCGTCACAGATATGGCATGAACTCTACAGCTAAGCTATGTCTTTGGCCACAAAGGAAGATTTTTAGAGGATCTGCCATGGAACCAACATTCCTGCCAGCTCATATTCCTCACTGTACAATATGCAGAGTCAACTAGCTTCCAACTGTATCAGGAGTTTAAGACTGCAAGTGCTTTCTATAGAGAAGGTGGCCAAAGATTCTGCCTTTACTTATAAGTAATCAGTTGACTGACTTTCTTCTACAACACTGAAGAAAAGTAACAGCTAGCTATTATCTTATTTTCAAATATATACACTGGACTAATATGCTTTTCTTCTACTATTTGTGAACTGTATAGCACTTATATCAAGAAATAGAAAACTGAATAAATAGCAGTACTCCTACATTAAAAAATAAAAATAAAAAAATAGAAAACTAAATTCATTAGAGCTAATGGCTAGATGAAGTGTGCGAACACTTTTAATGAACCAATCTGAAAAGTGAGGAGAAAGGGCAGTTAACTTCTAGAAACTCTAAAACTGGATATTAGTTAATTTTCCTGTTGTTTCACAGAGAGGGAAAATTATAAATGGACATGAAGAAGCAGTGAACAGATGTTACAGGAAAGTCACCATCTGCACTGGGAAGCTGCATGACCCAAGTGCATCTCCTTTTCTAACTGGTGGCTAAACTGTATTTCAGTGTCCTTGTTTGGAGAAGGACATACCTCCTCAAAGATAAACTGTCATTCATATTTTTTCAGACATAATGGCAGGTGAAAAACTGTCATTACTATAGAATTTTTAGAAGAACTATGTATAGAAACTACTGACAGATTAGTGAAACTCTGTGTGTACATACCTGTGCTTAAGAACAGTCTTTACATTTAGCAATAACGTTCAAAAGTAGTAATACAAAAGAGAAAGATGACAACAGGAAAGTTTTTTGAATGCTGTGAACTGTAGAAGTGCTGAAGTATACGGCTAGAATCTTAAGCTCCCATTTGTCTATCATGACCACATGAAAGTTTTTCCTTTGTTATAAGGTTGGCATGACATTATTATATTGAGGCACTTCCAAGAAAGAGTTAATTCCATGTAAGTGTAGTTTCCCATCGAAGTACAAACCAGGCCCAACGAGATCGGCCGCGTTCATGGTGGTATGGTCATAGGAAGTATAGTTTCTTCAAGATAAACTACATACTATTATTGCAAGGATTCTTAGTCTGGGATTCATATGTCCCTGAAATTACAGGCAGAATTATATATCTACACAATATTATTTCCTGGGAAAAGTGTCCAAACCATTAATCAAATTTTCAGGGAGTCTAGTATCCAACAAAATATAAATTCTCTTTTATCATTTTTGGTTTAAATAGTTCATCTTACTTAAAGTGTAAATTTTGGGGGCTTAAGCAATAGTATAGTGGGTAGGGTGTTTGCCTTGCAAGCAGCAAACCCTTGTTTGATCCCCAACAACCCATGAGTCGCCAGCAGTGATCCCTGAGAGCAGAGTCAGGAGTAAGCCCTAAGTATCGCTAGGTATGGCCCAAAACACACGCTCCCAAAAAAAAAAAAGTGTAAATTTTTTAATTACATTTGGGGTCAGGGGAAAATAAAAGTATGTATTGGAGGGGAGGGGGCAAGAGACAGAAAATGAAAGTAAATAATTTCAAAATCATCAATTAAAAATAATCCTTTCCTCGGGGCTGGAGGGACAGCATAGCGGGTAGGGCATTTGCCTTGCACATGGCCAACCTGGATTGATTCCCAGCACCCATATGGTCCCCCAAGTACCTCCAGGAGTAATTCCTGAGTGCATGAGCCAGGAGTAACCCCTGTGCACAGCCAGATATGATGCAAAAAGCAGAAAAAAAAGATCTTTCCTAATTTTTTTCTTATTATTCAAAGCTCCTGTAACATTCACATTTCTCTTTCAAAGGAAAAAGAAAATAAGAGTATTAATTTGGGGCAGTTTGTGGGCCACACCAGCTGTGCTCTGGGCTTATTCCTGGCTGTGCTCAGTGATCACTTCTGAGGGGGGCAGAAAAAGGGCATCCAAGGCCTGTACCTTCTGTGGAGAACTATCTGGCTTTGTGTCACCAAGTTCTTTACTTTTTATTTCCAAAGAAAACTAGCTGCAACTTTGAAGGATTTGTGCAATTCGTAAAATTTTCTCTAAACAAGACCAGAGACAGAGTACAGAAGTTAAGGCCCTTTCTTTGCATCAAACCAGAGTAACCCTGATTTGATCCCCAGAAATGCTTAATGATTCCCTGAGCACTAACAAGAGTGACCCCTGAGCATCATCAAGTGTAGCTCCAAAACAAAAAATACAACCAAAAATTTTTTTGTTTGTTTTTGGGCCACACCCAGCAATACCTGGGGTTACTAATGGCTCTAAACTCAGGAATTATTCCTGGCAGTGCTAGGGGACCATATGGGATGCTGGGAAACAAACCCAGGTCCTCCACATGCAAGGCCAGTACACTACCCACAGTACTACTGCTCTGGCAATAATTTTTCCCCTCTAAACATACTGAAACCTGCAGAATAAGAACAAAAATTAAAAAATATATATTATAAAGTATACCAATATTCAAGTTATGAATATATAAGGCATATTAAATATGGAAAATATATGCACACGTGACTGTTTTTTTTTTTTCTTTTTGGGTCACACCCGGTGATACACAGGGTTTACTCCTGGCTCATGCACTCATACACAGGGATTACTCCTGGCCGTGCTCAGGGGACTATATGGGATGCTGGGAATCAAACCCAGGTTGGGCCACGTGCAAGGCAAACGCCTTACCTGCTGTGCTATCACTCCAGCCCCTTGACTGTATTTTTAAAAAACTTAAATTTCATGTCAGTAGCATGTTACAGATAACAAAACACTGAATGTGAAAAATGAAGAATATCCAACAAAAAATGTATGACAAAGCTATTGTCTAATAGCTTTATATTGAATCTGAATAAAATTTATCACTAGATAATATTTAAAGTTAGTAAGATCTTAACTAAAATCTCTGGCAAACAAAAATCACTATTTTTCTTCATATCTATAACTTAGATTTTAGGAAACATGACTTACCTTGTATTTCAATTGCTTGATAAACCACTGTAATAGCATTTAATAGTTCAACAACATTCAGAATTATCAAGCATTTAGTCAAGCATTTTTTTCAATGAAGTCTTTGTGTACTTAATCCTTTACCTTATTAATAACAAAGGCACTGACTGCTTTTAGAAGTCATATGAAGATTTTCAGTGTAATTCAGTTATTCCCTTAGAATGGCAATAAAGATTTATGTCTCGCAAGCAAATTAAATCATATTAAATTAATAAACACTGAATTCAAAATATTTATTTTTCTACAAAAAAAAATCCTTTAAGTATGGAGTTTAAAAATAAACTTTGAGGTGGGAGCAATAGCATAGTGGGTAGGGCATTTGCCTTGCACACAGCCAACTGGCGTTCAATTCCCAGTATCCCATATGGTCCTCTGAGCAACACCAGGAGTAATTGCTGAGAGCATGACCCAGGAGTAACTCCTGTGCATTGCCGGGTATGACCCAAAAAATAATCAAACAAAAATCTTAAAAAAAAAATAAAATAAAATAACTTTGGGGGGTCAGAGCCATAGTAGAGTGGGTAGGACAGTTGTCCTGCACATGGAAGATCCAGGTTTGATCCCCAGCATACCTATAGTCCCTTGTGCACCACCCAGAGTAATTCCTGAGTACAGAGCCAGGAGTAACCCTTGAATATTGCTGGTTGTGGCCCACAAACAAACAAAAATTAATTTTGAGCAGCCAGAGAGAAAGTACAGCAGGTAAGGCACACAGCACATAGAGTGCCCTGAGCCCTGCAAGGAGTGATCCCAGAGCACAGAGTAGGCCTGAGTAAGCCCTGAGCACGACCAGGTGTGGTCAAAAAAAATTATTTTGAGAGTAAGGGATATGGCTCAATGGTAGGACACAAGTCTCTACTGTGTGAAGTCCTGGGTTCGATCCCCAATACTGCCAATATGTGGTCCCTGAGCAGCACTTTGTACAGTTCCTGGTCCCCAGCACTACAACAAAAAGGGAAAAAAAATTAAGAACTCACCGATTGCATGTTTACTCCAGCCTGTTGAAATACCATCCTAACTTGGCGCTTAATCCAGTCAAGCATTTAGATGGCGAAGTCTCCAGTTTTGCATTTCAAGTACTTCATGCATAAACAGTAGCACATGGTCCATTAAAGCGCACTGAAAATTGAAGATACAAACACAAAAATTAAATCATTATCAAGATCTTTTTGATCTGCAATATGACTAACAAAGCAAAATCAGTCAAAAACCTTTTTTTAAGCAAACATTTTAACTTTTGTAATTTGTTTAAGAGAAAGAAAAATTTGGACCCGAGCAATAAAGGGGAAAGGGCCTTTTACAGGGCCAATCATGTTTTGATCCCTGAAATTCCGTAAGATCCCCTAAATAGTGCTAGGAGTATCCCTTAATACTTCCAGGTGGTGCACACCTACCCCTGCCCAAAAAAGGGAAAAAGATCTGTGTTAAGCTTTCAATGCACATGTAGTACAAGAATTTTATTTCTGTTTGTGAGCCACACCCAGTCTACTCCAATCTCTGAGCTCAAGGGTTTTTCCTGACAATGCTTGGAACCACAAGGCAGTGGGGCTAAAACCCAGGCTTCTTGCATGCAAAGCAAGTGTTTAGCCCTATCCAGCATGCACGTGACTTTTTTTTCTTTTTGTGTCACACACAGCGATGCTCAGGGATTACTCCTGGCTTTGCACTTAGGAATTATTCCTGGCAGTGCTCGGGGACCATATGGTATGCTGGGGATTAAACCTGGGTTTGCCACATGAAAGGCAAACGACCTATCCACTGTACTATCACTCCAGCCCCATGCACATGATTTTTAAGTTTGCCCTCTCCCCAGGTCAGGGTTCTTAATTGGAAATCAGTGTGGCTAATTTATATGGAAACTGTAATTATGGAGAGATACCTAGCAGAGTCCCTGGTTTATAAACTACATAGCCAGGAAAGACATCCAAAACCACAGCAGAATTACTGTTCCTTGGAAGCTACACCAAATCTGGCCTAACAGACTCTACCAGCTCCTACTTTTTTTGTGTCATTGTCTCCTGAGAGTCTGTCCTTACTAGGATAACTCAATATCTACCTAGTCATAATTACCAGCAGGTTCTGCTTCCCCCAAAAAAGTCATTAAGGGTTTCTAGAAATATGGAACCAGAAAGTCAAAAGATGTTGGAAAATTTTAAAAGATGACAAAGTTCCTTTATAATACTCAATGAAACTAAAATCTCTGCCACTCACTCAACCCCCGATCAATTTCCCATATAGAATAGAACTGATTTGGGGGGAGTGATACAGAGGGAGGTTTAGGGCCACACCCAGCAATGCTCAAGGCTCCTGGTGGTGCTCAGGGAACCATAAGAACTGCTGAGGATCACACCAGGGTCGGCAGCATGCAAGGCAAACACCCTACTCACTGCAACTTTCCAGCCCCTAAAAGTGTTAACTCACGTTATAAGTCAGTCTGCTAAACATACTGGTGGACAATGAAACAAGGCATTTGTATTGGACTATATAAATCAATGCATGTAAAGCAGAGAGGTTTTGTTTAAAATAGGGATATATTGGAGGTGGAGAGATAGTACAGCAGGTAGGGTACTTGTCTTGCATACAGAAGACCAGGGTTTGAGCTCCAGCATCTCATGTGATCCCCCAAGCACTGCCTGAGTGCAGAACCATGAGTAACCACAGAGCTCAGTCGAATGTGCCCACCCTCTCAAAAAAAGTAAAAGGGATATGGCTCAGGGTAGTGTATGCCTTGAATGTCCAACACCCTGGGTTCCACCCCCAGCATGAAGACAAAAAAAAAAAAAAACAGCTGAAGAAAAGTGTACATTAGAGTACATGGTATACTTATCTTGGATGGACTTTATATGTATATATATACTTATGGTAACAACCACCAGATCAAAATATAATACCTTCCAGAACCCCAAAGACCATATCTAGATGATACCTAATTAACTACTATAATTTTGACAGGGATACATTACTTTTATCTGCCTTATTTGCTCTTTTGTGCCTAACTTCTTTCACTCAACAATTATCTGCGAGATTTATTCACAGGTTCTAATCTCTAAGTCATAGTTCTTTTTTCACTTATGTGTAGAATTTTATCACTACAATCTTATGTTACATAAGGGCATTTTAATCAACACTGACAAATACGGTCAACATTAACAAATATATGACATATGTGACAAAAGTCCCAAATATCATCTAGAGTTCTTGTATTTATAATCTCTGAAATCTACAATTCCCTGATAATTTCCAGAATAATTAAAACAGAATCGTTAAAATAACTTTGCACATATCACAGTAAGGTATACATAACAACTCATTTCTTTGGAGTATCTATGTACATATATCTATGTACATACTCTGGAGAAAAACAGCAAGAGCATTAGATAGCAAGAGATGGTTCCAAGTGTAGGGCACTTGCCTTGCATCAGCCAACCTGGGTTCAATCCCCAGTATCCCATATGGTTCCCCTTGAGCACTACCAGGAGTAATTCCTGAGTGCAGAGCCAGGAGTAACCCAACCCCTAAGCATCGCCAGGTGTAGCCCAAAAACAAAACAAAACAAAACAAATAGTTCTAATTGAAACCAATTATATGTGTACACACACACACACACACACACACACACACACACACACACAGAGTGAACTGTAATTGTTCTATAATCTTTGTCAACACCTGGTATAAATAAATTTTTAATAGGAATTCTAGTGGGTTCTTAGCATATTTTGGTGTATTCTGATTTTCTTTTGGGAAGTAACTTCTGTTCTTGTTTTGTTTGGGAGTCCTGCCCTGAATTATTTAGGGAATCACTCCTCCCTATGCTCAGAGACCATGCAGTGCCAGGAATCAAATCTGAGACGTCTTAAATTTTTGTCAAGAAATGTTTTACAAATCTGGGCTATAAAAATTAAGGAGCACTATTTCAGAAAAAGAAAAAACAATGAAACTTTTGGCTGGAAAGAGAGTACAGGGGTTAAGGTGCTTGCCCTACATGCAGTTGACCTCAGTTTGATTCAAGGTACTGCATAAAGTCCCCTCAGCAGAGAGCCAGGAATATCTCAGGGTGTGGACTATCCCCTTCACCCCCTAAGTCTGAGGAACAAACAGAAAAGGCAAAAGTATTAGGGAAAAAAGATAATGAATTAGGAGGAAAATGAATAATAGTTTCAGGAAAAAAATAGAATTTCAAAAAAGGGAATAATTCCTATTTAAGAAAACGTAGTAGAGAGGTCACAGAGTTGATGGCTTCTTACTGCTACCTTTGCCTCCAACTCTCCAGGGTGCTCTCTGGAATCATGTTTGAAGGTAGAGGTCCTCTTCCTGAACTGAAACCAAACTGTTCTTCTAGAACGCGCTTCAGAGCCCTCTGACAGGGCTCCAACTTGCTCTTTTTTCTCATACTTCATATGATTCCAATAAAATACTTCTTTCAAGGCTGGAGAGAAAAAATGGCAGGCAGGGTGCCTCTCTTGCACGCAGCTGCTCCAGGTTCCATCCTTAGCTTCTATTATGGACCCTGAGCCCCATCAGGAGTGTTACTCAGTGCAGAACTAAGAGTAAGCCCTAAGCATCATCAAACCAAAAATAAATCACCTCTGTGCTATCTTTGAAAACTATCTTCCTAAGCAAAGCTACAGAAACCAGAGCAGCAGTAGCAAGTGACTAATAGAGGGAAGGGTTAACTACAGAGAAGCACAAGGGAACTTCTGGGTATGTGGAACTATTCAATAACTTGTACGTGATGGTAGTCAGGTTCAGTATAAAAAGTTTGCCAAGAGTAAATTTTGCTGTGATTATGCAGTTATTTCAAAACCAAAGCTCCCCCCTCTGGGAGCACAGAGTGGCTTTACCACTCTGCTTCAGGTAAAGTCACTTAAGTCATTCCCTACCATTCATTCAGTTAGGACTTCTAGCTGTGTCTTCTCTACTTCCCTAAATCAATTTGTACGTTGGGCCTCAATAGCTTTAGTATATCGATAAATAAATACTCCTGGTCTCAATGTTGACCTTGATATTCTTCCCAAAGCTCGATAACTTGAATACTCACAGAGATGATACATTCAACAGAGTACTCTATATGTCTATCATAAACATCAAAAAATACATAAAACAAAATTAATCACATTAGGATGTTTGGTGTTTTTTTTTTAGGCGTTTTCATCATTGGAAACGGGTAATGACTGATAGCAGGCCTAAGAGGTATTTCTGAAGGTTCTGGCAATGTTCTGTTTCTTGACTTAAACAGATAATTGGGTGTGTTTATTCTGTGAATACTTATCAACACACACAGACTTTTCTTAATGTAAATTATAATCAAACTTGTTTTTAAAACACATACAGCCTTTGACCAAATTATGCAACACTGGGAAATTTCTCTTGCAGCAATACATAACAACATGTGGATAAAGGTATTTTCTGCGTGCTTTTTTGTACTCATAAAACTGGAATAACTCTAAATGTTCATGAATAAAACTATAGCATTTTTATATACTATAATTGTATAGTATATACTGGAGTGATAGCACACTGGAGTGATAGCACAGCAGTAGGGCGTTTGCCTTGCGCGCAGCCAGCCTGGCCAAGCCGGGTTCGATTCCTCCACCCCTCTCAGAGACCCTGGCAAGCTACTGAGAGTATTCAATATGCCAAACACAGTAACAAGAAGTCTCACAATGGAGACGTTACTGGGCCCACTCGAGCAAATCGATGAACAACGGGAGGACAGGACATAATTGTATAGTATTTATATATAAATTATGAAATTTGGCCATTTGTTAAAAGTCCATTAGTTTGCATAATGACATTTTTGTAAACACATCATATAGGAGAGTATTATGCTAAGTATGATGTCATTGTTTTAGAATTAAAAACAAAAATCTTCATCCTTTATCTATGTAGAGAAATACACATTAAAACTATTAAAACTGGAGCTGGAGCAATAGCACAGCGGGTAGGGCGTTTGCCTTGCACACGGCCGACCTAGGTTCAATTACCAGCATCCCAGATGGTCCCCTGAGCAACGCCAGGCGTAATTCCTGAGTGCAGAGCCAGGAGTAACCCCTGAGCATCGCCGGGTGTGACCCAAAAAGAAAAAAAAAAACTATTAAAATTAGGCAAAGTTGGGA